AGGCGCTTGCTAGGTCGTTCTCGGTCGTTCGAAGTCGTACTGCATAGACCTAAGAAATCGTGAATCGTCTTTTAGGTGATCTAGATGGTTTAAGGTCGTTTTCTAGGTCGTATCAAGTCGTCCTATGTCCTTCTCAAGGCCGAAGAGTCGTATCGGGTCGTCCTGATGCTTTAAGAATAGGCATCACTCGCCAAGAACAGTTCTCGATAGGGAGTGTCGTTGCTGTTGTTTTTTTTTTGGAAATCTAGATCACGTGCCTTATCTCTTGTTATATATATATTTTTTCTCTTTTATTTTCCTTGTTATCTATGTTATTTGTTTTTCTTTCTTTTCCCTTTTTTGTCTGTTCCCTGTTATCCACTTTTCTTGAATGTTGTTGTTTTTAATTTTAAGATATATTTCTACAGATAATTTCTTCGCTTGTACAGTTCTATTTTTCTACGTTATTTCCAATGCCTGATGTACTTTTTTATACAAATATATTTTTTATACAGTTTATTGTTGAATAAAAAAAACTATTTCAAAATGATCCTACTTTCTAATAACAACCTTAATATCATTATAATTTTGTTGATAATTCTACGCCGTACGGATTAATCAATTAACTTTATTTAATTCATAAATCTCTTCATTATCCGATATCAACAAACTGGTCTTGATATTATTATAACATTAAAGTATTTACATTCTGGTAAACTGATATCATGCTTAATAATCTCTGACAGTGTTTATAATCATTATTATAATTAGCTTTACTGATGACATTGTAATAAGGATAATGATGATGATGATAGTGATGATAATGAGGATGATGACAATGATAGTGATGTGAATGATGTAACTGTCTTTAGAGGCATAGATATTAATGCTGTGATAATAGTAATAATGATAATATAGTATAATAGTAATGATAATGATAGTGATGGTGATAATGATAACAGTAACGGGGATAATAATGCTAAAAATATCAATGATAGTAATCATAATGATAATAATAAAAATAATGATAATGATAACAATGATAATGATGATGAAAATAATAATAATGATAATAATAATAGTAATAATAATGATAACAACTGATAGTGATAATAAATATAATAAGAATAATAGTGATGATAAATATAATAATCCTGTCAATGATAATCATCATGATAATGATAATAATAACAATGATAACGATAATAATAATAATAATAATAATAATAATAATAATAATAATAATATTGTTATTATGATCATTAACGAACACAATGATGATAATCATATAGTGACGATAATAGTAATATGTAACAGTAATAATAAAGATGATGATAATCATGATGATAATGATAAAAAATGATGATAATAATGATAGTTGTAATGATGATAATTGTGTTAATAATAATAATGATAATAATGATAATAATAATAACAATAAGTAATAGTAATAATAATAATAATGATAATAATAATAATATTGATAATAATAATAATATCAATAACAATAACAATAACAATAACAACAACAATAATGATAATAATAATAATGATAATAATAGTAATAATAATGATAACAATATTAGAAATTATCATAAGGACACTGGCAATAACATAACAATATCAGCAATGATAATAAAACAATGATAATGGTCGGTTATAGCACCGGACTATTAGAAAATGTAATGGAATAACAAAAACGTCAATATGGATAATTACTGTCAACAAGTATTTCCTGTTATATGAATAACATTCTTTGTTCTGTTGTCTTTGTTCTTTGTATTTAGAGTTTGATAGTGTGCGAGCTTTGTAAAGACTTTATGCAGTTGTGGGAGACGAAAGAATAGCATTTTAGGTTTCCTTCAAAAGGGTAATATTTGTCACGAATTCTTGACAAAAATATGCCGTCGTTTCAAAATGTTGTGAGGGTAAAAGAAAGAGAAGAAAATGGAATAGGGTGATAACGATAAAGGAGATGCATATCAGGGGAAAGAGGATTGCGAAGAATAGGAAGACACAGACGCAAAGAGGAAAAAAGACAATAAGTAAACGAAGAAGACAAGCAACGGAAAACAAGGCGACGGAAAGGAAGACGAAATGAAAGGAGAAAGAAAAAAAATGAAAAAGACGAAGAGAAAGATAACGGAGAAAACAGTGAAGATATAGATAAAAATAAGAAATACTTGCACTTCGGAAACCTTGTTGGTGGTTGGCACAGAAAGTTACCCAAAAACTTTGATGAAATTCCATACCTTTTTTTTTCTTTAACAATCTCAAGAATTTTCATTTTTCTCTGACATTATGAAATGAGCGCTTATAATATTTGATAAATTTCTTCTTTAGCATACAATGTAGGAGACTTACTCTCTACAACTTACACTTAGGCAAGGAGAACAATGCAAAAAAAAAAAAAAAAAAGAAAAAAAAATTGTCGCCAAATACGGACTTAATTATAAACCAAGAAACCAATATAACAAAATGAATGCATTGGAAGAATTAGAAAACAGATTGAGACGTAAAT